TTTCTTCATTACCCATTCAAGCCGTCTCCAGCCATTATTAGTCTCAAAGTGGGTTCCTCGTCATCGAACATAGTTTCCATTTCATAAGGTTGTCACATCTAATAAAACAACACCCCTCCCTGTATGCTTTCCATAATCCATCTATTGTACGAGGATGGTATTTTCCTATTGCTTGTTTTAACAATCCAATCAAATAGAAATCCATACGTGCTGCCTCCGCTAAATTGGTTGGCATGTCTCCGAAAGAAATAGAGTGGATGCACATTTCATATACCAGTTGCTTGAGGTATGTGATGGTTGAATTGGAGGTATTACTGGAAGCTTTATCTCAGTAAACCCATATGTTGGCCTCATTACAAGACGTAGATCGTTCTTGATCATGTTGCATAAAGTTGCCTGGGACATGTAAACGGCTTTTGCTACTGACCTTGGATTCTAACCTGTTACAAGACACTCTTCTTACCAAGGCTGGGGCATGATTTGTTGAAGGTCTCCTGCTAGATGATCCTGGTGCCCCAATTTGATCTATATTCCTTTGTTTTATAATGCCAATAACTACAGGGGGCATCCCGACTTTAAAACGCTCTAAATCCCCTAGCTGAAGTCAGCTTCATGATCTGAGTGTATGAATATTTTGTGTTTGGAAAAGATTATTACACACCTTTCCTAAAAGTATCACACTGCCTACTAAATGCCAATGTCAGAATATGGTTGTAATGCATTCCTTTCCACGACAATTATATATTGGCTGTTGTTGTCACATGATTTTAATTGTTTTTATTTGACACACAATCCTCTGTATTCTCTCCGTCGATGTTATCCCACAATTTACATGGCAATGATTGTAAGTTTAAATTTATGGTATTAATAACTGTTACTTTTTTCTTTTCTTTTTACAATTGTGAACAAAATTTTTGTTGTTATTGTTTTATATTAACCCAAGAATGTCCAGATGCAATAAAGATTAGTGATTTTGTACCGAAAGCATCATCCTTGGCCTTCAGTTGACATTAAATAACACTTAATTACCAATAACTTAACATATAAAAATATTCATTGTTTTAATTAACTTTTTGTGGTAAAGTGAGTTGTTGGCAACTTTTAGCTACTGCTAGTTCAGCCTGGTTGCCAGCAGTATTATATAAAACCCTTATTGGTTAACTACACTATCTAACACAAACACGAACAAGTCAACCAGCGTGGTTGCCAGCAGTATTATATAAAACCCTTATTGGTTAACTACACTATCTAACACAAACACGAACAAGTCAACCAGCGTGGTTGCCAGCAGTATTATATAAAACCCTTATTGGTTAACTACACTATCTAACACAAACATGAACAAGTCAACCAGCGTGGTTGCCAGCAGTATTATATAAAAGCCTTATTGGTTAACTACACTATCTAACACAAACATGAACAAGTCAACCAGCGTGGTTGCCCGAACATGCACGAAGGAACTGATCTTATGAGTTGAGTAAGTCTTACACGATGTTTAGGTGTCATATATCTCATGTGGCTCTCTTATTACCATTCACTACTATTTATAACATTCTGAGATGTAGAACAACTTAAAAAGTTTAATAACCTATAATTCTGCATTTAAACTACAATAATTTCTTTTCAAAATTGTTTCTCAGTTCAAAAATGAAATGTTTATGCTTCATCACTCTTTTTTTTTTTAAATCCCTTATTGGTCTTGGTTGTATGGTGTTAGTACTTAGGACCAACTGTCTACAGTCTATCTGAATTTATATACGGATAACTAAGGTATATGTACGTATCAATCATGCATCTATGGACATTTAAAAGGTTAGTAAGATTGTGATCGGGCGTAAATATACAGACTTTAAAATTTTATGTAGCGCATGAAAGTCGATTTCACTTGAAAGAAAAAAAAATAGTTTGACGATACATTAAATGCTGAGCTCAACATGATTTTCAGATTTTCTCTTTCGGTTTTCAAAATCATTTACGCACAGCTCATGTATTATTGAATGTTCGCTATCACTGGATTTCGTACCAAGCTGGTATAGTCAAGTTTTTAAAATAATATTTAAAAACACTTAATATAGGAAGTGCACTACAAACTTATTAAAACAAGTTATCCAATATTGTCATTTGTTGACTGAAAACAATGTTGATCTTCCTAAAAACGATAAATGAAAATTGATATTGGGGCTACCAAACATAAACCCCTTGATATTTTCCAATAAAAGAGTTGAGAAGAATGCGAAGTTTCTCACAGGTAATCCAACAAATATTTATCCCATAACTGAACCATTTTGTCTTTGCTTTCAGTGCGCATAGATTATCAGATGTGCAATTCTTTTTTACATTATAATCACTTTGAAAACCTCAAACCCCAAAAGAAATCAACTGTAAGTCGTTTTTATCAAATTTAATCCAATTACAGCATTCTCAGGTTTGCCTTCCTATATTCGAATGTTTCGTTCAGTGATGACAGATATTTTGTTTTATGATGTAATTATTATTAGATGTATTTCCGCAGGGTCCCCGAAAGTGTTCTGTTTGAAGAGTAAATAAAACCAAAATTAAGAGTAACAAATATTTTTATTTTTTGCTTTGAAGTTCATATATCACGTTGTGTTGTAGCCTACAGAGTGCATAATTATTCTCGTGATTCATGGCATGCGCACGTTTTACTGACTCATGACAGTACAAATAAGCGTCCCTTATGTGACGTCATTTTAGTGTCTACAGACACAATGACAGACAACACACTAGTGTATAGTGGTGCGAGTGGTTAAAACAGGCGACCCCTTCAAGCGGCCTTCGGCCCCCTTCAGGGGGAATTTGTTTTATGATTCTTAGGCTTACGAACATTTCCTTTGTTTGTTTGATTTTTAAACTTTCCGCGTAAAGGTACGAAAGAAATATTAGCACATAGGCGTCCCTAATTTTGAACTGGTACACCAAAAGTAAGGCAGTTACTCAGTAGCCGTACTGCCAACTCTTTGGCTACTCCTGTCTGACCGAAGAGTGAGAGTTGACCATCTCTCTTATAGCACACCTGTAGCCCGAAGTGAGGAGTGCGTTTTTGAGGCAACGGGATGTGAATCTAAATCCTCGGGCATGTTAACCACTAAGCCACGCTCAGCCCAAACCTCCTTTGAAAATTTAAGACTAGTTTAGATGATATAACAAAAAAACTGTTTACAAATTTGCATACTTGAAGAAAATATTATTTATTTTCTGGTATTATGAAAGATTAATTGGAGATTGCATGATATTTTCCCCCTTTTTTTTATGCCCCCCAGTGGCACAGCGGAATGTATGCGGACTTACAACGCTAGAAAACGGGTTTCGATACCCGTGTTGGGCAGAGCACAAATAGCCCTTTGTGTTGCTTTGTACTTAATTACAACAAATAAACCTTTTTTGTATACAACAGGAAAGCTCTTTGTGTTATAACTCCTTTAGTTTAACACCAAAAAGCTGCATACTCTTAATTTAATATATTATTATTGAATCGAAGTATACTTCACACTCTTAATTTAATATATTATTATTGAATCGAAGTATACTTCTCACTCTTAATTTTCTTAAAATAATTCAATCTAAATATCGGTGTGTTTTTACACTCGATATTATGAATAGTTCTCACTTTTACTTACTTGCCACTCTGAAATAATAAATTAAGCTGTCCTTTAAAAAAAAACATACACACACACGAATATATACACATATATATATATATATATATATAACGTTATTCGTTTTTCCTTGTCCTCTTTCTAGATTTAAACAAATATAAGGAATTTTATATCGAAAGTTATGGTTTACGAACCCAAATAGCCGATTTAATTGATTATGTTTCACACTAACGATAAATTAGCCAATAGAGACCGTTATTTAATATTTATTAGGATGCAGTTCTTTAGGAACTACAATTAGTTGAAAGTTTTCTATTTTCCCCCAATTTCAGCGTTATTGTATTTGAAAACTTTCTAATATCCTTATAAATTATTTTTAACATTGTTGTTGCCGTTGATTTTGTGCAAAGCTACTGAATGGGTCATCCACGACTGTCCACGCGGGAAACCGAACCACGGATTTTAGCGTTGTAAATCCGTAAACTTACCGCTGACCCGCAGGGAGGGGAACTGAAGTTTAAATAGTTTGGCAACTCCAGAGATTTTCATAATGGAAAAGAAAAATGAATAAACAGCACAAAAACCAACACACATGAGTCACACATACCTCCTAGAACTCCGTAGGTGAAGTAAAGGCTTTTGATGCTGCTAGCTTGAGACGAACAGACCAGACCTATACAGGCGATAATACCTCCGATAACAGTTACTCGACGTGGGCTTAATTGCTGAGCCAATATACTACCTAAAGGAGCTGTGGAAAAGAAATGCATTAAACGTTTCCATTGTTCGTCAACACATGACATTTCTTACTTCTTTAGAAGTGTTATCTATTAGTGACTAGTATTGGTAATGTAACACTTACAATAACCATATAATCATGGGCCCTTAAATCCAGCTTCCATATTTCATATATTGGTGCCAGCAAAGCAAAACCTAACATCAATTTTTGCGATCTTTATAATTCCTACTTCATAATTCTGCTTGATAGCAGTGCATGAGAATAGCATATTTTTGTTACAAAATGTAGTAATGTGAAAGCACTTTCATCCATTATTCAAACCGTTTTTAATAGGCATTGATTTGCAAAACGAATTTTCGAGATTCTTGTCTGCAAGTTATATGAATAAGAAAATATTTATTGAAAAACATGTTTAATACTATTTTTATATCACATACAAATCATATTTCATTCCTTCTTCTTTGTCATTACAATGCTAATTATCTAAGTTGCTGCAGGTCTATCACTTCCACATTGAAGTGTATGGAACAGACACTGACAATCTGATATCTTGCAGTCACGTCCAATATCCTAAAACAACCATGCACAACAGGACCTCAAGTGCTCCTCCTCAAACAAGTTTGGTAGTTGGCACTGAAATAATGGTTGTAGAGACAGTTTTTAAATGTAGCAGTTTATCGGGGTCGAATTTCCCTTTTTGTGACAAAAATAATCTTATTTCAAGTAATATATTTCTGTTGAAACGGTTTTGAACGTTTTAACTCTAACGTATCTAATATACTAAATCTCCCAAGATTATTCCTGTCTGATAGCTTTTGTCTGCAACATTTTCCTTGATATCAAATGTACTCATCGTGCATTCCAAAAACTTCTTTACTGATATAAAGTTACTTGTATCATTTAACATTCCAATTTTCTGATACCGTTCTGCTGAAAATTGTGAATTAAAATACAAATTAACTTATATCAGTGTTTCCAGAACCAACAACGACTGCTTTGTAGATGAATTTTGTAACCATATGCAATGTTTTTAAAATGTTTCCCTGACTGAAGTACCCCTTTCGGCTTTTCAGCATTTCTATGAAGTTTTCTCTGTAAACATCAAATATGAATTCAGTTCTTTTGGGGGTTTGAGCCTTCTATTGATGTGAGAAACAGCTAGGAGAAAGCATAGTTCCTATGTGTATTCCTAACTTCCTTCAGTACAAGACTTATGCTTGATTATGAAAGTAACAAGAAAGTTTCAGCAGCAAGTGAACTCTCTGAAAGCTCTTTCGGAAAATTCAATTTTGTTGTCTTTCCTGAGGAAGCAGCATGAAGACTCTGGAGCCCACAAAAGAAATTCCAGAGTCTTGCCTTTTCAGACCTCTGCTATGTGAATTACTTTGGCAAAAACATTTTAGTAGGTTGATCAACTAGAATCCTTCCAAATTGGTTTTCTGTGCTAAGATTCACAGCAACTTTGATATATTTGACATCGGTGAAACATACATCAGGAAATATCGTTCATAATCCACCTAGTTTTATACAATAATTGTGGTATCATTTGTGTGACTGAAAATAAATTCAGAAACGAGTTTCCCTTTCTCGATACATGGAGTATGGAGCAGCCAAAAGATCAGTTCTACAAGGTCCACGTAAAACATTCAGAATGTGCTACAATATTTTTCTTATATGATCCAGAAATTTTTCAAAAGCCTTAGCAGCTATTCTAAATTCTAAGTTTATAATTATATCTTGAAATTTATCTTCATAGTTTTCATACATTTAATTAATGCTCTGACTCATTTCCTCCACTTGTATATTTTTTCAGGGACAGTTTCCTCTATTCCGAGGTCAATCTAGTAACAACTTCAAAAATAATTTTCTACAATTTAACTGCCCTACTAAATCATGATCACCGATTATCTTGTAACTGAACCCTCTGCAATAATTCCTGCTTCGAAAGAAATACATTTTAGCCCTGTAAGGCCCTGTGTCCTTCAGAATTAGATGGATTCACGTAAGAGAATACTCTATAGACTCAGTTCTACATTCTATGGTAGTTTTAAAAAGTTTTGCCGATTTCTGATGGATTTTGATATCATAAATTCTGTAGCTGATGGTCTATAATATCAACAGGGGAATAAAAGCAACTTTATTTGTAGTTTCATTGATATCAGGAATATACATATCCCAATATACAGTTCATTTTTCAACATCTGGCTTTCGTTTTGCCATTTAACATACTGACAAATTGTCTAAAAAGATAAAAAATTTCCCTTTCACTCTAGATATATGTACAAAGAACCCATAAATTTCATCTTTAGCTTATACTTATACACTATCTTTTGCTATTCTTAAACAACTTCAAATCCTAAAGAATTTATTGATTATATTACCTTCTTTGTCACGTTTTTCATTCCGGTCACCTAACGTTTAGCAAAAACAGTTGAAATCCACTCAGCTTTATAATGCAACGTATCTTTCTTTGACTGGATTTTCCTTGAAATGCCACAGTTAACGAGCTTTCAGTCCTGCTAATAGGAAGATATTTGATCAGAAGTGTATATGCAGTATGTATTGTACTTCAGCAACCACAAACTCTCTAGAAATAACAGTCTGTTTCATTACTTCATTTGACCTTAACTTTGTATATTTCTCCAGTGGTTCTATTCGCATCTTGCCTTTGAAATACTTTTCGCGTCACAAAAGATGAACTGTTTCCTTATAAACAGTTGAAGAGATCTTCTTTTGCTTGAAGTAGTCACATCATCTTTTTCAGTTACGTTCATTGTTGCTATTTTGTCAAGTTTCCTTACCATGGTAGAGGCTGCGGCATTTGTTATGATGCCAAATTTCTGAAACTTCTACCTCTTGTAAATTCGTCAATGTATCAAAGTGTGTTGTTGTTGCTCCTGCTGCTGTTGTTGTTTGCTACTCTCGGTAGTGTGTTCCATGACTCTTCGTCATTTATTTGTTTTGAATTTCGCACAAAGCTACACGAGGGCTATCTGCGCTAGCCGTCCCTAATTTAGCAGTGTAAGACTAGAGGAAAGGCAACTTGTCATCACCACCCATCGCCAACTCTTTTACCACCGAATAATGGGATTGCCCGTTACATTATAACGCCCCCGACGGCTGAACGGGCAAGCATGTTTGGTGTGATGGGGATTCGAACCCGCGACCCTCAGATTGCGAGTCGAGTGCCCTAACCACCTGGCCATACCAGGCCTCTTCGTCATTTATTTAGATAAGAAAAAAGAAGAAACACAACTAAGCCAGTTACCAAAAAATATGAAATATACATTTTACCCCTTCAATAGTTTCACAGATTTTCAACAGACTGTAAAAAGTAAAGCCTGTTTTTCTGATGAAAGCTGTTTATTTAAAAATACTACCAAACAAGAATCGTCTTACTCTTAGTGTGAATTGGGGAATAGTACTTAGGTTTTTAGCTCACTCGTTGGTCTTATAGTCTAAATACAAAGTAATATAGAAAAATATTATACACCAAGTCCTAATATGTCGAGGTATAGCGATAAGTGGTAATTATCTATCATCAGAGAACATCACATTTTCCATAACAAAGAATGTTTACTAAACTTTATGTTGCTGTTTAGTGCTTAAATATAAAATAATGTATTATCATACTTTTAGAAATACATTGAACCCAATTCTAGTTAAAATCTTACCCATAAACGTCAGGATTGCTATTTGAATGGCAGGAATCCAGGCAACTTGCGAAGGTGTAGCATCGTACCTTTCCATAAGCGGTGTGAAATAAACTCCAAAGGATTTAACATGACCAATTATCAGCAGATTGGCTATCACTACACCAACTTCTACAGCCCAGCCCCATCCACCGTCTGGGGGTACCTTTTTTCCTTGAATGACTACTTCTCCATCAGACTTGCCCGCCTTACTGGCAAGAACATCGGTCACTAAGCCTAAAGTCGGTGGAGAGGAATTCATTTCATTTGCTGCTAATAGTAATACTGTGATTGTGATGTATGTAAATACTTTGTCACTAATTACTAATCACTTTAACTCAACTTCTAATCAAAACCTACAAAAAAATCGAATTTAGGTATTCCTTATAAACTCGTTCGTGAGGAGTTTATTAAAAACCAGCTACTATTACGAACATCAGCTTTCAGTGGTTTAAGCTGCTAAGCACAAAACATAACCAGAATTCTATATGGTGGTATCCGGCGAGAAATATGTTACATGTAATCAAATATAATACGAAAAAAACTAGCCTTATTGAGACAGTTACAATATTAACGTAACGGTATACTGTAAAACGTGGTTACGCTGAAGAAACTCAGGCAACTTCAACCCGCCTCTAAGTTACTGGAATTTGCGCACGTGTACTGCGCGTGATCTAAAAAAGTATTAACTTCCTCTTTCATCATCTGCTCACTGACGTCAGAGAAAGAACCGTTGTTTTTGACAATTGTTGGCTGGGCTTTAGGTTGCATAATATAGAACAAATTTATAGATGGCGTTGATAGATAAGTGAATGACTTGCACATTTTCCACATGTCGAATAATTATGTAGAAAATCAAGGAAATGTAGAATTTTATTCATTCAAACGTTGGTTGTTGTAATTAAATTTCAAGAATAAAGATGTCATGTATGATAGATCTAATTACTAATTTGATTAATCCAAAGACCAATTCAGTACGCACCGTGAGAGCCAGCACACATTGATATGCAGAACGGAAATACTGAAACCCTTTCTGGTTATACTTATTCCATTAATAGTATTTTAATTAAATTGTACATAAGTTTAATAATCTGTACGTATATTATCAAAGAATACTCTTCACGTATTATTTACATCACCAATGTATAAACAATAACTGTCGTTATAAATAAAAATTGATCTATTAGTTCAAAAGTAAAACAGTTATAATTTATTTATTTTCCACCAGTGGCACAGTGGTATGTCTGCCGACTTACAACGCTAGAATCCGGGTTTCGATACCCGTGGTGGGCAGAGCACAGATAGCCCATTGTGTTGCTTTGTGCTTGATTATTACAAACAAACAAACTGCAGATACATATTTAAAAATGAAAGAATGTATATTATAAGAAGAAATTTAACAGATTAAATTATCTTCTTTTTTAACTCCTTCTTGTTATACTAGTGTTTTGCTTTCAGTATCATTTTTGCTTTTTAAGAGTCAAAAAATACTTCTTGTTATACTAGTGTTTTGCTTTCGGTATCATTTTTGCTTTTTAAGAGTCAAAAAATAACCTTAGGTATCCGTCCTTTGTAAATTAAGAACACTAAGTATACTAATGAA